TTTTTGCGAATACAGACTAACACGGCTGTTACTCTGAAACCTGAGATTCTACTGTATACCCCAATGTCATTAACATTTATTTGACATGATGAAGGAAGAGGTAAATGAACTCTACCAAAAAAACCCAACCCATTGTTTATTTCCTTGAATCAGAAAGGCTTGACTGTGCTACACTGGTACTCTCAAACTTTCCACTGACAACCCATTGGGATCCATTGGCTAAACCAAATAATTTAGAAGGGCTGGGTCTTTAATGTGAATACTTGTTCAAAGGTGCAGCCTGTGTGGAAAATGAATGATGTTATGGACTGAAAGTATGAAAAGGTCCTTCAGGGCCTGTGTACACTTAAAACACTACAGCTGCACCACTGGAATACTTAAGTGTAGACACTACCTGTAGATTTTTCACATCCCTGAGTGATGTAGTTATGCTTTCCTAATTTTCTAGTGTAGACCAGGCCTCAGTGTCCTATATGAAGTAGTAATGTTCAATGTTTGTGGGCAGTGATTGGCATAAATCCCCCGTTTGTCTCTTAAAAGAGAGTATTTGAAGTTTACAATACATGAGTACATCAGATCTAGCTCTTGGCAAAACACAGCACTTCATTTCACCCTACTAGTAAAAACAATAGCTAATGTGAGATTTCTTTTTCACTCCCTGTTTATATAGTTAAGAAATGCACTTAGAAGTTAAATATATGGTTTATGATTACAGACTATATTCCCTTAAATTGTAGGCTAAAGACTGGAGAGGCAGGCCTAGACTACACTTAAAAATTTTGCTGGCATAGATGTCATTCAAGGGTTTGATCCCCCCACCCCGACTGACATAACTATGTTGGCAAAAGCTCTAGTATTGACACAGTTATACCAGTAAAAAAGTGTTTTGCCGATATAGCTTCGTTTGGGGAACTGATTTAAGATAAACTTGTAAAATAACTATTTTGCTGAAATAAGCTGTGTCTTTACATGGGGGTGAGGTGATGCTTAAATTCCTAAGAGGTCATATTAAACTGGACTCCCCTTCCCCCCTCACTACATATACATAGAAAATACTTTATAAATAATATTAGTGACATTGGGGTATACTTACAACCAATGTCACCTTTGCTGAACAAATTTAACATCTACAGAAAAAAGCTAGTTTGTTACTAATTAGTTTATAAGCTTGAATTGAAAATATCATGTATAAACAGAAAGAAGGACAACCCAAAGATTAGCATGCAATGTGTGGTTCATTACGTCCAGCAAATCAAGAAAGAATATACCTTCAGAGAAACAACTGAGAAGTGGTAAGGCAAAGGAGAAAAGATGGACTGTTAAGCAGAGAAAAAAAAATCATTCCAGGATCCTGCAGGCTTTACTCTTGTGAACAAGGTGTGTAGTAATGGGCCCATGCTTATCACACAACTTTAGGCCTAATTTTTCCAAAGTAGTAATTTTGGGCATCTCCATTTTTGAGTGTCCAACCTAAGGAGACATCTTAAGATGCCTGATTTTCAGTGAACTTTGAGTCCCCTCACCACCTCTGAAATTCAGGCAATTTTAAAGGAGTTACAATTTCGGCATAAAAAAAATGGAGGCATCAGAAATCACTAGCCCCTTTTGAAAATATTGACCTTGGAGCATAAGTTGTTCAGGGTAGGGCTTGTGCCTTCTTTTGCATTTATCCACTGTGATACTGTGGGTGACACTAGAAACAAATAATACATAAATAATTGTTCTGCACAAGTTAATGGAAGCAGTTGGGTGGTAAACCTGGTGAAAAATGAAATAAAATGTGTCCATCAGGCTGTCTCTTAGTACTGAATTTAAATTTTAAAAGAAAGACAAAATTACTCATAAGATTCTTAATGAACTCCAAGGAACTTCATAAGAGTTATCTGACAAGCAGAAAGAAGTCTTAAAAAGAATCTTTAGTTAAATATAGAAGTCTACCATTGAAATAATACTGTACATTTCGTGATGTTGTGTTTTAAAAAAATTAGTTATGTGAATAATTGTTGTCTGGCATCTTTCATATCTCTTCATTCTGTCATAAAAACCATACACAGGAGATTTAAAATTGGAATCTAAGGACAATCATCAGTTTGGCTCTAAAAAGCCCAATTATACTTAGATAATCTGGTCAGATGACTGATTTAAAATGTGGTTGTCTCTTATGGCACAAAAGTAGCTGGCAGTGATGCAAAGCCACCGGCACTTGAACCAAAGGACAAGCTTGCAAACATGTTTATCAAAAACTTGGTCCGTTAACTCTTCAAAAGAATTATTTAAAAAGTTTTTTCTAATAGATCATTAGAAAACTTAGGAAGATGAGACCAGGGTTCTTCACACAATCTAATTACAATTAGTTCAATGCTGGAAAGATTTTAGAAAAGAAATCTAGATTTTAGAACAGGTAACATTTTCAGAGACCCAAGGCATTTCATGGTGGTGTAAAAATGTCACATGAAAGACGAAGCACTTGGAACTGAATTTCACTGCAAGCAGATCTACAAAAAGGACTTTTCCATTATTGCAGCTTTGCTCGAAGAAACTTGGAGAGCCTAAGCCCACAGTGTACAGTGAAGCTGAGCTGGAATAAACAGAACCTTACTGAGAGGAGAATCACCTGTACCCAGGAAAACAGGAGCAAGCTGAGAGTTCTTTACTTTTTTTACTACCCCGATAGTTCAGGTACATGACCACTGTCATGCATTGGAATTCTGAGGATAAATTTTTCCCATTTTAGCCTTCTGAGCAGTAATGCAGCTAACCTTGTTGCCTGCAGCACAAGGGTGTTTATAGGAAACCGTCTTTCCATTGGAGACCATATTCCCTGTGTTCAGCAGGGATCCACATTTACTTCCCACCCTGATAGACTCTTGTCCAAGGCAGTATGTATTCTGGTTGGATAAAGAGAAGTCTGGAGCCAGGATGCTGCTTGTTTGTTTGCTGTGAGACCTAGTAAACTGAACAATGCTAGTGACTCCTGTACCATTTGGGTGGCCCAGTCCTGAGATTGGCCAAATAAACTAGTCAGCTAGAGAAGGAATCTCACAAACCCATTTGAGAGAGTGTCACTGCATGACCAACATGACCTTTACCAACATTCTCAGGTCAGATTCCAGGCTGAATGGAGAAGAGCTTATAAGAAAGACCATATGTTCAGCACAAGCCCTAGGTACTTTTAGAGAGAGTAAGTGATGAGGATTTGTAACTGGGTGTCCTTAGGTCCACCAATACCAGGACCTTGATTTATGATGGCTCTGAAGGGTTCCATTTTGAAGTTTTACTAACCAATTTCCTCACTTCCTTTCAAGTTTATTTTAGATTCCAGAGCAGTGCCTGCCTTTTAGGAGCAAGTGTCTTTCACCTTCTGGGTTAAGAAACAAAAATGACATCAAGATGTGGTAGCAAAGGTCACATTTCTGAGTGTGGCTTTGAGTCAAGCAGGAACTGAATTGGAAAAGCAGCGATGGTTGCTCTGAAAAGCGAGAAGAATCCCAGCTGGGGACTGGTCATCATCCTGTCTGCCAGACTGAGCTAAGAGGACAAGCTACATTCTGTGGTTCCACAGTAATAGGATACCAACTTCTGAAGTGCAGTCCAGCTGAATAAATACTGATGAAAGTCAACAACTAAAACTTTTCTACAATAACCATTTCTCTAGAAACCTGACTGAAATTTGAGTATTTGTACTGACTTTTATCAAATGGGAATAAATACTTAGGCGATAATATAGTAATCTCACCTTTTGTCCATCAATCACTATTGAGGGATTACCTTGGGCAGGGCACGAGGTGCTATAGTAATACAAATAATAAAATCAAATTTGGTGCATCACAAACTGCCTCAAAGAAATAGAAACAGATTAACTTGACTGGAAAATTATTAGACAACACTTCATTGTAGGTTTACATTCTGATCTGTATTTGAACTAAAAATCTGTTCATGTTTCTAACTCCCTCTCAATGTAGTTTTGAAGCACTTTCTCACGTGAGAATCCACTCTTCATGGATCAGGAATGACAGAGTGATTTGTTTTCGCAACCTGAACAGTGTAAGCAACCGAGTCTGAAAAGCAACAGCAATCTTTTTTACTGAATCCTTCCCTTTCCAATTGCATATGTAGGCTGTGATCATCAGGTCCTTTAAACTCTAGCCAGGAAAGATTAATAGCTATCCATACAGCTACTGTATTGTGAAATTTCTAGCTTGGAGCCTCTCCCCCTACCCCTCCTGCAGAAAACAGAGTGAGCAAGAGAAATGCTGAAATTTAACCCTGCGTAATTTTTTCAACTGTTAACTCTTATAAGCTCTTAGGGCTACAGTAATACATGAAAAGCAAAATGATGTCATGTATTAAAAGGGAAAAAATATTGTGTTTCTGAACAACATTAGAAGCCACTCTGTCATTCACTACACAAGCTTTTGCCTCACTAACTCACAATTTTAAAAGTTCACACCAAAGTACAACAACAAAAAGAAAAGATTAGAAATAAAGTATTATTCTCCTGCACTATTCTCACAGATATGGGGTGAACAGCTGAGATAAAAATGTCTGAACATAAATTTTATTTACTAAGTAATTACAATTGCTACAGTTTCTTGAATGTTTTATCTGATATTTATCCATGGGCCACAGATGTTCCTTGAAATAACTTAAAGATACATCAAGTGTAGCAGTTCAACTTCAGATACCCCAACTTTAGTTTTTGAATGGCTCTAAGGTGTAGCCCAAACAGAGCACAGCACAGCAGCCTATGCTTCAGGTAACAATGGTGACAGTTACGAGGTCCATATATGAAAGGAATGGTCACAACCTCCTGGCTGTATGTAAAGGATAAAAAGCTCATCTGGTTCTCTTTCCATTCAGGTAGTTTTACATTTGGAACTTATTGTACATAAACAAGATGATCTGTGTTGATTGTGGTTATTGGCATTACTGAATATTATTTTTGTTCAGAGCATACATAGTGTTTTTGAGAAAAAGGAGCATGTTAAACAAAGACTTACCCCCTCCACCTCCAAGAAGACTGGAATTAGCTAGGAAAAGCAAAAGGAGAATAATTAGAATTAAATTTAAATATGAAATGGTACAGAAGGTGAAAGTATTTATTTATAAGGTATAAATTTATATTTATAGTGTAAAATTGTTGAAACTGATTATTCATATTATAGAATGTACATTCTATTAAAACAAAAACAATTCGAGTTACTGTTTTTCATTCAAACCATTCCATTTTTATCTGTTTGTCCAAAGACATTATTGGTTCACATTTTAAAAAAAAATATTTACCTAAATTATTCTCAAAACCTTTATTTGTAAAATACCATGCAACACTTCTGGGCCTGTAGATTAAATTAATTAAAAACAATGTATGAAAATTGTAATACTTTTAAACTGCATAAACTTCTGAAACTGTATAACTGTCCATGCAATATTCCTTTGTGACAACCAAATAAAGGCGCAAAACCCCTTGTCAGTTTAGAGATCAGCAAATGGGCTTTGGTGCCCTCTGTGATTAGTTCTCCTGGGTCTCTATGACATGGGGCCTTTGTGGATGAAAATCAGTAAAGAGCAAATTATCCTCTAATCAGACATCTGTAAAAACCACAGTGAATGAAATGCTAGTCCCATTACAATCCATGGGAGTTTTCACATCGATTTCAATGGGGTAAGGATTTCACTCAGTATATTTACATGCTGCTCTACTGTATCTATTCATCTGTCTGTCCAAGTCATAAAGGGTAAATTTTGCACAGCAGTAATTTGCAGAATAAGGCTATTCAAGACAGCTGTTCAAATTAAGCTGGTGTGGCTGCAGCCACTCATTGTCCCTCCACAACTTGGGCATAAGAATGGGGAAATGGTAAGCCTATAAGCTTGCCCCCTTCAGTGAAGTACTCATCCTACAATTGTATGGGAAATGCAAGTTCCCTCAGCACAAACATTTGGATGAAAAGCTGGAAATAAAGGTTCAAACTCTACTTAATTAGTTAAGCAACAGGAAGAGGTACAAGCACTTCTCTCCAACCTTCATACCTTACTGATGAGCAAAGGAGGAGCGAGACTGTAAAACATTCCTTCCTCCAGAACCTAAGGGCTTATCTACACAGGGATATTCAGGAAAGTTAATCTGAATTAATTTTTATATGAATTTAAAGTGGATTAGTTAAACTACATTAAAACCATACAGAGAAACTCTGATTCAGAATTAAAGTGGCCTTAATTTGGCTTAGTTTAATTCACTTCCAAAGTGAAGCTGCTTTTCACACAGTTTCTTTGGGAGTGAATTAAGATAAACTGAATTAAGGCCACTTTGGGGATTTATCTACATGGCCCTGCAGTGCAGATTACAGGGGTGTGAGCTGCTGCAGCACACACTGATGTGGTGCGCTGTAACTGCCCCATATAGACCCTGCTAGTGCAAACTAAAAGATACCTTGTTTGTGTTAATATAGTCCCATTTTAACATGAACTAGGTATCTTTTAATTTACACTACCGGGGTCTACATGGGACAGTTACAGCGCAACACATTAGTGTGTGCTACAATTCATATCCCTCTAATCCACATTGTGGGACCATGTAGACAAGCCCTAATTCTGAATTAGTGTCTCCACCCAGGGATTTATTGCAGTTTAGCTAATCTATTTTATATTCACACCTTTAGTTAATTTTCCTGAATGCCCCTATATAGATAAACCCTAAGGCTATGGGGAAGTATATAATATATGTTGTATTGCATGCATCTCTTTCTAGTATCTGAGCTTTCCTATTTGAAAGGAACAATTCCTATAGGAATAGTCCCCATGACTACGGGACTAGTAGGAATAATCTAGGATCACCAAAATGATTAATTGTGACAAAGTACAAATCCATATGGTAGGTTTTGTTGATGGTTTATTTTAACCATCTAAAGAAATCATATTGTACACTGTCTATTTAGTTTGCTTTTTCATTACTTCTTTTCTTTTTGGGGGTACATCTCTTACGTTCTCTTTCAGTCATACCATCAGCTCTTCCTGACACTACAGAAGCTGTGCCACAATTGCCAAGCTACGTTTTCCATAAAATAGTGTATTTAGTAACTAACACAAATTCCTTTTTTTTAAAAAAAAGGAAAAATGTCCTGTTATTGTTATTTACTGTTATTGTACCACAGCAAGCATCCTTTAGACTCGTGGGTATCATTTGAAAAATACTAGCAGGTAACAGAACTGTAGCCCTATACAAGTTTCTTTGCAAAGATAAAATGATATATATTGCAAAGATTAGCAGGAGGCTTTGATCCATATATTTTTACCACCTCCTATGTTCACTGAATTTCAATACAATATCGAAGAAGAGCACACGACTTAAAGAATTCCATGAAATGCAAACAGCTGATGTATCCTTTACTTTAGCAGTTTCCAAACTACTTGAATAGTCAATATCAACTCTCACTGCAATAACATTAATCAACACATGTATAAGCTGAAACTAGCACAATTGTAAAATCAGACAAGCTGAAAAAAGGAGAAAAGCCCCTAACGCTATCGTCCTGCAACACAGGATTATTCTCTGAAGTGTATTAGAGCGCTTTGTCCATTCTAGTTTTAATGAACTCAAGTTCCGGGGCTTCAAACACTTCTCTTGGGAGACTTGCCCAAGATCTTATAGACCTCACTGTTAGAAAGTTTCTTAGGATATTCAGCTAACATTTTCTTCTGCAAAACCACATCCTCCATCTGCTTAGATCACATTAAATTCCCTCCTTCCTTGACAATTTTCAACTTATTAAAACATAGCACACTAGTTAGCATTATAAAAATTCAATAGTAAAAACATTTTAAACAAAGATTTTGGCCACAATGTATCACAATCAACTACAACTATTAGAATTACTGTAGTAACTTATTAACATTGTTTTATTTTACTGTCTTTGCCCTTCAGGACCGACAGCACCTTAAGGACTCTTGCCCCAGACAGAACGCTCACATTTTGCCGCTCTTCCTGCCTTTTCCAACCCACAAAACCACCATGCCCTGCATGAGACTTGGAGACATTCCTGTCACACACACACAGAAGGTCACTGAGCCTAGGAGCTACTAGTACACACAACCATCATCTGCAGTCAGATATTGATCCAGCCTGGGCCAGCAGCCGTGATTCTTGTCCTCATCCTCCGCCCTAGTCTACAGCTGAGCACAGGATTCTAACCAGACCTGGGGAGAACAAGAAAGAGTCTGCTTTTGAGACGAGAGAGAGAGAGAGGATAGGGTGAGAAGGTATATGGGAAACTATGAGAAGAGACAGTGAGAGCTAGGGACTTCCTGTCCCCCAATCCCTCCCAAAGCTACCCTTCAGAGACCACTTCCCTGACCCTTGCTAAAATTGCTCTCTGCAATCTCCAGCCCACAGCAAGTTCCCCAATTTTCACTTTCAAAATCTGGTTATAATGCACCCCTAGAAACATGCCTTTAAATGTATGCCTATTTATATCAAACCAAGTGACAGCACACAAATTGCCTGAAGAAGAGCTCTGCGTGGCTCAAAAGCTTGTCTCTCTCACCAACTAAAGTTGGTCCAATAAAAGATATTATCTCACCCATCTTGTCTCTCTAGCACACAATTCAGGCAGCTTGTACTGTAGGCACTTATTTGTAAAAATGTCAACAATTTACACATGCTGGTAAAACATGATCCTGCATTCCTTACTGGCAAACTCCCATTGAAGTCAGTTGGGGTTTGCCTGGATAGAGGCTGCAGATTTTGGTCCTGAAGAGGTAATATAACTTTCAGGTCCTGAGTTTTAGATTTGGTACCATCACGTCAGAAGTAAAAAGAGAGTTTCCTAGACTCAGATTAATCCCTAAGGAATAATCCTTCACATAAAAAACCATGAGTCTGCCCATTGGGTTTCGGACCAAGCCCCAGCGAGGTGCTTAAGTAATGGACTTTGAAATTTATGGGAGTTGAATATGCTCAGCACCTCACAGGACTGTGCCTTTATTCCGTGCTCAAGAAATAAATGATCAGCAGTTACAGGACAACTGAAGAAGTCCCATTAGTGTATACCTGTTCTGACCAATGCAATCGGCCTTCACGCTAAACACCAGCATTCCTCCCAAAACACAGAAGTGCAAATAATTTGGAGGAAACTATTTAAGCAAGTTTAGTCTCTTTCTGGTTGTGGATTATCAGCAACGAGATCTTACGTTGTCAAAATATATTAATTATTCAAATGTATACATTAATATATTTTACAAATATGGATGGAACTTAACATTCTAAATTTGATCTGCCTTACTTAGGGAAGTCACATGGCATTGTTTGTGCTCACTGACTGAATACGCACAGAACTTCTGCAACAAATCCTGAAATTCCCTTCAAATTTTTCACTTTCTATGAACATTTTGGACCTCTTGAACGCTTGTGGAAAGTAAATTTTAAAAAAAGTTAATTCGGATGAAGCAAATGAATTTAAAAATCTGAGTATTCACAAAAATTCTTTTAATATTGCAGACAGAACAATTAAAAAGTGAAAAAAGCTGATTTTTTAAATGGATGTTTACTGACAGTGAAGCTTTTATCATCTGCTGTCAATTCAGTTGAGTTTAGTAATGATAAATTACTAGAATAACATGGGGTGTGTGTGTGTGTGGAGGTAGGTAGAATACTCTGACAAAATTTTAAAAATAATTTCTTTTGGGACCATCTCTTTGCAAAGGATTAACGGCACTGGTAACAAATTGACATCTGTCAGCATAACAAAAAACATACTTTTAAAAGTTGATTTGATATTATCGGACTTAGCAGATGTTTGATCTTGTTTTCATATAAAAACTTAAATACTTGAGTTGATAGATACTTTTTTAATTGTGAAATTTATTTAAGGAGATATCTTTATACTTGATGATAGTGTGAGATGCAAGATGTTCTATCTCCAGAGACACCATTTTTATTCCATTAATAAGACTTCATAGAAGACTGCTGGTGAGCAGGGTAACAGTAATTTATGAAACAGGCAGCCACATTTCCTCGTACACATTTTGTGAAACA